CACAAAGATTCTCTTAGTCAGGTGGAAGGCTAGAAATTAGAACAAAAATTGTAGTCCATTCAGATCCCTTCCTAATTTGCCTTTAGACATTTGCAGATACTGTAATAAAAAATCAGGACATTGGGAGCACAATTGTCCTGCACTTAAGTATAAAAATAAAGGAAAAAAATGGAAAAATCTTCCTAAAAGATAACCTGAAAATTTTCATGTCCTCAGTATTAGTCTTGCTAAATTCTGAGTTAGAAGGTCCAAAAATATGGCTAGACAGAAACATGGGCTAAACTGCTTTTATAAATGGGGTCCTGCCAACCTGCTGTCAGTGCTCAAGGAATTCGTAGAATTAAAGGAGAGAATGTAAGGAAGGTCACATAGAATCCACTGGTGGTAGATTAAGGAGGCAGGAAAAAGCAAAGCGAGAAAATCTGTAGGACTGGATAAAAGGAAAACTGAATTGATACCCACTTCTTTTACATTGGTGGATACAAGAGAGTGAACATTAACATTTGTAAACAAAAGTTCCAGAGAACTCTTATAGGAATTTAAAAGAGAGTTTTATTCTGATATTTGCAAATCAGAGAATGTAGCCTTTGGACTGAAGACATCCTCTAAGGTGGGGAAAGCAAGGCAATGGTTGTAAAGGCAAGAGTTATAAGGAAGTGATCAGATCAAAGGAATGGGTTTCTAGGGAACCAAGGCCATAACCTTATATCAATCATGTATTTTCTGATTGGTGAGGGCAACTGGAACTTTAGCAGTTGCTGGATCCATAGTCAGCAAGTGGGGCTGTGAGATCAGAACAATGATTAGTTTTGGTTGACTGGTGGTCAGCAGGAAGAGTCAGGGATACGGCCAACATTTGGAGTCATAAGACCTGGTCCGCAGAGGAGGGGGGTCACACGGTTTCCCTTGGAGACTGCAAAATAAACTAATAAAACTAGTTTCATGGTGCATCAGACAATGCATGGAATATAGTTCATCAGGTGGACAGAGTCACAGAATTTAAACTGCAAAGCTGCCTGGTCACCTGAGCAGAGTCAGAGTTCAGATTGCAGAAGGGTCTGGAATCTAGATACTTGGTCACAAAATTGTGATATAAGAATCCTCACATGTTTGGTAAATAGAGATGCTATACAGGCAATAAGATAAAAATGAGGAGTTTCATGTTTTTGTGCCCTGGTGCCTGTGGTTGTGCCTCTGATGGGTTTGGAAAAATAAAATTTCTTTGACATTTCAGAGGTGTGTTGTCCTAGATGCATAAGGACAACAGATAGGTCCACTTGAGGTAAGGATTGACCTTTGGTAAGGAAGCTACAGGCCTGGGACTACCCACCATGACCTGCCCAGTTAGGAATTTAAAATCAGACCATCCTGTGTGGTTACTTCCAGTTCACTTAGCTGGTCAGACCTGCCATGTAGCCCCCTCACTTGTGAGGTCTGCTATGTGCTGTAGTTTAGATGGTTCCGTCCCTTCTGTTCCCTTCCCTTCCCCTCCCTCCCCTGCAAGCTGGCTTGCTGGGCCTCCCTGCTCCTCCCCACTCATTCCCAAGACTAATCAATCTGTTGATGAAGTGATGAGATGGGCAAAGATGGTTCCAAATTAATGTGCTTACTGAACTCTATTGTTGCTAATCCATCCCATCTTAGTTTTCCCATTAGTGATGTTGATAATGGCACTGTCTAACCTGGATTATCAGCAGCACATTGCAAGGGTTTAATAAATATTTGTCAAACTGAGTGAATGACAGATTGATGGGAGATATTTGGGAGGTATCTGGAACCTTCCATGGGTAAGCTTCTTCCTCCTTGCAACCTTCCCCTTACTTAGTCTAACAGGTACCCTGCTCTGAATAACAAATGTACCTGAATGTTTCTTTGCTAATCTTACAAGTACTTACATCAAGATTTAGCCTCATAGCCATCTGATAAACATCAGTTATCTATTAACTAAAGCCTTTCAAGACCTCATTCAAATGTAATTGATTCCTTGAGGCCTTCCTTAGCCATGTATTTTCCCCCTCCCCCAGAGCCATGCTCAGAATCGACCATACAGGAACACGGCATCACTGTAAAATTAAAAACAATGTGCATAAACCAAAGGCTCTCCTGATCCAGTCATCCCTTTTTGGTTACCAGTCTGCTGTGGATCATTCAGGCTATTCTAACAATTTATGTTGGAAATACTTCCATGTGAGTACATACATGTAGACCCATCTCTACACAGAGTGTAATTGCTGTGGAGAATTTCCCAATATAGGTGTGTTGTAGTTTAGTTACTCTTCTGCTATGGATGGATATTTTTTCCTCCAATATTTTGCAAGAATAGTGCCACAATGAATATCATTTTATATGCCTCCTTAGGCATAAATGCCAAGTATTTCATTTCTACAGAAATGTCTGAAAATAGAAGTCTGGATAAAATGTGTATATATATCTTTGCTTCTATATATTCTTGATATATTTTTGTATTTGGTAGTTTTATGTTCTACTCTCATGCATTGGTAGGAGTTCTTTGTGTATTTTGAAGAATAATCCTTAGTTTGATACACATATACATACATATATCAATAAAATATATGTGTACATATTTTCTCTCCATTTAAACCTTTTCCATATTTTGTATTTAGTCACAAAAATTTCATATTTTTGTGCAGTGAAATTTATCATTCTTTGTAATTTGTGTCATTCTCAGGAAGAGTGTTCATATGTCCTGGCTATTCACATATTTCATTTTTTTGTTATCGTATAGTTTTATGTTTTCCATTTAGTTGTTTAAATTACTTGGAATTTAGTTTTGTGTATGTTAGAGGGTATTATCGAATCTTTCTTTTCCCAAATTGTAAGTCAATTGTTGCACATTATTTATTAAATAATAATCCCTTTATCCTCATATCCAAATTGAAATGACATTTTTATGATCTATTTTTTAAATATATTCATGAAATTGTTTCTGTACTTTGTAGTAGATTTGCTTGATCTATTTGCTTATTTCTTGGTCAATTCCACACTGTTTTGATTACTATAGCTTTATCATATGTTTTGGTATCTTATAAGGAATCAATTGTTTCTTAGCTGTCTTCTATTAAGTATTCAATGGATAAGACTGAGTCATATTTGTCTTTAAATGTCAAAAACATTTCAGATAGTTTGTGTTAATGTGTGAATGATGGAAATGAATTCACCCAGAAGCTATTGGTGTTATTGGTGCTACACTTTGCATTCCCAAAGTCTCAAAGATCATGGTGAAAAAGAACAAGTTTCCCAGTTTTACTCCATTTCCTGTTGTAGCTCATTAATTCGATGAGTTATTTCACAGGAATCTTATAACTATTATTTAATTTGTTTTTGAATAAATAATGCATCTACATGATACAAACCCCAAAGGGTACAAAAGTGAAAAGTTAAGTCTCTCCTTAGTTCTTCAGAGGCAATTATACTAACACTTTCTTTTTCAATCTTCTAGGATGGTAGCATACCATCCGCTTTGTTCTGCATCTCGCTATTTTTATTTAACAGCATATTTAGAGATTATTCCATATCAGTACATATGATGCTATTCCATAATATGGTTGCTCCATTTTATTTAACCAGGATATGGCAATTCAGTTGTTTTAATAAATACTGTTTATATGCATAATATTCTCAAATGTCTAGAATAAAAGTTCTGCAGAAGAAGTTGGTGGGTCAAAGGGTATTTACATTTTCAGCTTTGTTTTATATTAGGTGGCCCTCCAAAAATAGTCTAGAAACTGCATGAATAAAGACCTGATGGCACTTGCCACCAGGCTTCAGACTTGCTCAGACATGCATCAAGTGACAGGGGCGCAGCACAGAAACTCCAGCGGGGACCCTGACCACCAGTGGAACTGTGCTCGTGCACATGTATGAATGTGTATGATGTACACATGGTAAGAAGCTTAAGGAAGTCAGTTAATTAGAGTCCTGTTTAAAGCTCTAATAATTAGTGGAAGTGTTAGTAGTTTGAATAAAGCCCCTTTGACTTTATTATTTATGAGAAACTGATGTTAAATAATAAGTTTGAATTTCACAGTCCTGATGCTGCTAATCAAAGCACAGAACATTTCTTAAGATTATAAATTACTATTCCTCACAACAGAAGCAAAAGGGGAAGTTGGTTTTATGAACTACTAACTGGGATACTAGCCTCTGTTTGGGTCTTGGGCTGATTCAGAGGGAAGGAGGCTGGTAGTCACGTCTTGAAACTGGAATACGTTCTACAGATCGGGCAGGCCAGAATTTCCTTGAACTCATAGTACCTACCTGCAGTGAGCTGGAATGAGTGGCCCAGCCCCTCATTATCCTTGTTGGCAATAGTTGACAATGTCTAGCTGGAAAGAGAATTTTTTCTAGGCAGGAAAGGGGCTTTGCCTGTGGAACAGGGGGCTATTTTTGCTCTGTCCTCTTAGGGAGTTGGTGCTGGGTTTAGACTGTGTGTCTCCCCTCCCCACCCATCTCATTTCCACCTGGTATGTCATATTTCTCTCCCCTCTCTTCATTTCTGCTGCCACTAATGTGAGTCTGTTTGGGGGATTTCCTCTTTCTCTGGTGTGTCTTTCTCTGCACAAATGGAAAGAAACAAAACACCAAGCTCTCATTTCTTCTTTTCACATTATAAGGTCAGAGATAAGATGAACTCTTATGCAGGCCTTTCTTTCCTTTCCCTCTACTATCTCCTCCCTCTTTTGGAAGTGCCTCATGGTTCTGGTTGCCCACGGTCGGAGGAGGCGGCTGTCTGCCCTGCTTTAGGTGGCTGCCCCTTCCCTGGCACTTCCTCCCAGCCTGGCATGACCCTCTGCTCTGTCATCACTGAAGGATGATGTGGTCTGTCATCCTCTCTGGGCTCTTCCTGGGTCATAGGATCCCTGCAACTCCGTCTGTTGCCTTTCTGGGCCTGCTCCATCCGCTACTTCAAGTGTAAGGACTTAGAACTGCTAATTAGTACAGGGAAAATGCCTTAAATAAACATTAGCCCAAAACAATCATACTGTATAACAAACTTTTATTAGGATTAAGTCAAATTAGAAAATTTCATGCTTTACCATTTGCTACAATTACCTGGAATAACCAGATTTATCCTTAGCTGAGTATAAAACAGTTTTTGCCCCTGGATTCTACGGTATGGGAAACAAGAGAATCGACGTGCATAGCAGTGTGTCTGACTCCACCATAGTTCATGGTTAAGGCCTGACAACTGGTCAGCAAAGCACATGTTACTTCCAAGTTCTGGGCCTGAGGAAGACAACATTCTTACCTCCCTGAAGAAGACTCAGTAGCCTGGGCACCTGGAACCAGCTATTTGGAGTCTAATGTTGACATCTGTATTTGAAGAAAAGCTAGGCTTGAGGTATATTTATAGCTCAAAGGCACAGGTCATGCAGCTGAATTAAAGGCTCTTGTGTTGGTCTCTGTCATGGGTCAGGAGCCATGTCTTACAAAGGGGAGTCCCGATGCTACCTACCTCCTCTACTGCTTGGTGTGGCCCGTGCATCAGCAGCCCTATTCTTCTCACTGGAGCTCCTGCTAAGCAGCTGTGAGTGTCGGAATCTAAGGACAGGTTGGGGCTTCTGTGCTGCCTTCTGCCATGTGGAGAGCAGTCTGTGCTGTGGAACCTCATTACCCACCAGGCAGAGGGGCTCACTAAAGACCCAAGAAGTGACTCAAATGCAAGCAAGGACAGAGAGGCTCATTCTTCCGGTGACACATCACATGGGGAAAAGAAACCGGTCTTCCTGTGAATGAGGTCCTACCAAGCTGGAAAGCAGACTGCCGCTAGCACAGGGTATACACAGGTGTGACCAGCCCCTTTGTTCAATAGGAGAAACAGCATGAAAAGGACACCCGTGAGCACAGTGGGTCCCCACGTGGTGGGTTCCGTGAGGCAATCAGCAGTGGTATCAAGCACTTAGCTGGGCACTGCAAATAGCCCTGGGGTCATTAAGAGCGAGCGGGAGTCTAGGTCCTAAAAATACAAAACTTATCACTTACTAAATAACTGGGTATTCCCTTCAGTTTAGGAGTGATGTGTTTATGCTCAGAAACTCTTTTTCTCATTTTTAAACTTCCACCAATGAAGGGAATAAACTCCAGAGTGTACATGAAGGGCCTGGGCAGCTGCGCACAGAGAAGAAACACCTGCAGGCAGCACGGTGTTTTGTCCTCACAGCAGCGAGGCTCCTGACTCCCGCCTGCTCCACCCTCCCCACCTGCCCGATTCATTAATGAAAATGGCTGCTGTCAAAACTGAAATTCAGTTGCATAATATAGAGGAATGATAATAAATTCTCATTTCTTCAGGCACCAGAGGATACATATGACAAGGGTTTGATTCTGTCCAATTTACGACCTTAATACATTTTCCAGTCTCTTTTCCGTGCTGCCTCATCATCTTGGCTTGTATTCCTCAGTGAGCCCTGCATGCCTTGTAATTAATTTGCACTGTTCATGGTCATTAATTCCCCTGGGATTGACCCGGAGTTTGCTCAACTTTGAGTTCATAGCCTCCTAGGCCAAGGTCCCCCTCATAAATATTTTCCTTGTTTGGAGTCTGGGGTGAAGCTTTCTTGTCCAGACCCAGCCTGGCAGGAGGATTGCAGGGTAAGGTGGATTGCTCCTGGTAACTCATGGCTAGCTCGTCCTGATTCACAATGCATTCCACATCATCCTCCTTTAGATGGTCCTGGAGTTTTGGAGAGAGACAGAGAGAGAGAGAGAGAGAGAGGGACAAAGAGGAGGAGAGAGAGGTCACTTCATGCTTAAGGCAGAAAGCAATGGCAGTCCTATCATGTAAGTAAGAAAATAGGGTGTTTGTTTTCCTTTTTCTATCTGCCTTGCCTTGCCTGGGCTGGAGTTTCTCCCGCAGCAGGTACTGCCTTTCCCATCTTTGTGGGCATGGGGAAGCATTTCCCTGAGTTGGCATTGAGGACCTGACACCATAACACAACCTCCTTGGTTTAAGAGAGTTAAAATAAAACTCAGTGGGTTTCTTGAATTGCTATCTAAGGGATTTGAGAGGACTTAAGAGTTAGCAGAATCCCGTGATCAACCCTTCTTTTATTGCTTTGGGAAGACCATGGAGAATTGCTTGTAGGATGATCCCTGGCTAGGTGACCAGGCCCCTGGTTTGCAGGCCCACAGGTTTTTAGCCTGTGCGAGGATCACTTGGAGGGCTCCTCAGAGCACAGATGCTGGACCCTAACCTCGGAGTGTCTGTGTTGAGACCTGATAATCCGCACTTGTAACAAGTTCCCAAGTGATGCTGAGCTGCTGGTCTGGGGACCAGGCTTTGAAAACCACTGCCTTCAACTCTTGAGCCTTGAATGTATCAGAGATGCATTTTTCCATGCACACAAGGGGGCTGGCTGGACAAATGGAATAGGAGCCTCAGATGGCACGATTCTGTTCTTTTGTAGTCCCTGACACTCGGAACTGCTGTTGCTAATGATTCTAATCGCTTTTTAGCATTTTTAAATTCCATTCCCTTGAGCTATACAGCACAGGCTCTATATGTTCAAAACCTCTAAACACAGCAGTTTTTTGAGGACACATTAGTTCTTTTACATTTTCTAAATTCATTTTATGGTTAAAAATACTGGTAACAATAAAAAAATGAATTATTTTTAAGGAGATTGAGCCTACATCAGCAACAACAGAAAAGAGAAAAGCTTTTTTGGTGCAGCAATTTTAAAAAACACTTCCTCCTCAAGATGGGAAGGCATAGATAGCCTCATGATTCCTGGGCTCACCAGTATTCACCATGCCTGCCTAGCTCTGGACATGTACTCACCCCATAGGCCTGAGGACTGGTGAGCAGTCTGGAAATCGGGCCACACCATTCGGGTAACGTTGTGGTCAGCGGAGGACCAGAGTGGGTCAGAATTGGTTTCAGATATCTGTGAGGCCTGTTAAGGAATACTTGCCAAAAAGGACTCAGGGTTGTTTCTCATACACAGCACAGAGCTTTACATGCAGCAAAAGAGATAGCTCTGCTCACCTTTGAATCCTCCACTGCCTCACTGAGGAGACAATGTGGCCTGAAGAAATTAGTGTTTGTAATCCTTGCTCCACACACCTTTCCAGCCCTCCCAGAAGCCTCTAGGCGTGAAGAGATGACCACTGGCCCAGCCACCATCCCAGAGAGGTGTGAGATGCTCTTCTCCTCCCCTGACGCACTCAGCGTCTCATCTGCTTAGAGAATGTGTGTTTAAGAATTCCCTTAAACAACAGCATAAAAAACTGTGTTTCTTAAAACTGCACACACAACTTAAACCACCAGTAATTTTCACAAAGAAGCAAGAGGTATTTCATAAAACGTTCAGTCCTTTTAGAGCCAGGTAGTGAACATAGATTGTTTTCCAAAGTACTTTTTTTTTCAATGTCAACATAGTCACTTTGCTTCATACAACAGTGTTTCTATAGACAGAATTATGTTAAAAAAAGCAGATAACAGGTTTATTCCATTGCCTAGCACCTGTCTTTCTCATCACTTCACCCCAATGTGCTCCACGCGTTAAAAGGAAAACCTGTTCATCTAAAGCCATAATGCTTCCCTCCAATCCAGCAAAAGTGAAATCCCCAGGGGCTAGCTCACATTGCTTTATTATTATTATTTTGCTCAAAGATATGTAGTCAAATCATTTCACCATTCCATCAGAAACAATTTTTAACCTTTATATTATCTCCTCTTCCAGAAAATATTTAACCTCATCAGCTTCTGAAAAGCTTTAATAAATAGGGAAAGGGAAAAAATGGAAAGCAGTTAACACAGGTTGGCTGGTGAAGGTCCGCAGCTACCCCTAGGCACTCAGGACACAGCAGGTTTTGGCGACGGTTCTACTGGAGGCCATCCACAGCTGGATGACACTGCTCACTGCTCTGTGGTTCCTGTGGTGCCCGCGTGTGTGAGGATGGAGGGAAGATGCAGCCTGCAGGGGCCAGCAGCCTGGTTGCCTCTGGCTTCAAAGAGGTGATAAAGCAGGGGCTGCACGGGAGCACAGCGAGTTATGATGCAAGCGAGTGACTGAAAAGGTACATAAGAGGGCGTGTGATTCCAACTGCAAATGGAAAACTTGACAGCTCCTTGCAGGGGGGCAGCTGTTGTTCCAGTTAAGGACTAAGGAAGATATTAAAGTTCCGAGCCTGACATTTGCTGTAACATCTTCTAAGTATATCTACAACTCTGGAAAGCCCTTGATGACCTTCCATTAATTTTTATCAGTGTTATTTTCTTCCTTTTATGGATGAAGGAATTAAAGCCTAGGGATATAATGATTTTCAGTAATCCAAATCCTCCCTTTCCTATTTGAGTTCACTAGCATCCTCCCTGGTAGAAGTTAATTTTTCAGGGCAGAATTACTCATGTGAGCAGCTGCTTCTCTAGAGACAAATACTCTCAGACCTCACTCCCACTGGTGATCTGCAGGCCCTGAGCTCGGGGCACGTGAGGACCTCTGAGTTTATCAGGGTTGGTGGTGTACATGTCAGTGAACAATGCTTTTTTCAGGGAGGTGAGGAGGACAAGATATATGTACAACCTGAGTGTGAGTCAAGGACAATCCAGCCAATGTCATTTGCAGTTGGAAAAGTGACAGCAGGTTCGCAACATTTCTAGAGATGTCATGTAAAAAACAAAACAAAAACAGAAAACAGAGACGTTTGTCAAGGCTCTAAGAGAAGACCAGGCAACTTCCACTGTTTGAAATTCTCAGTAAACTGGAAAGTCAAAATGCCAAAATAATGTTACAAAAGTAAAACACAAATTTAGAAATGTGTAATGGACATATTCTTCTGCTAATCCTGATGGGGTGTCTCTTTATCTCTGTGCGTACTATTAGCGGAGCTAACACCGGAGGATGGAATTAGTAGCTTTCTGTGAACCCGAGACCTGGACCAAACAGGGGACCCTTTGCCCATCTGGACAGGCTCTGGCATTTTCGACTCAGGAGTCCTGGGCACGACGGCCAGCTCTGCCGCTTTGCTGACTGCGTGGCCTGTGATCCCGCTATTTACCTCTCTGAGCCTCAAGTGTTGTCATGACTATTAACTGAAATAACACAGGTAGGGGTGGTTTTAAACTCTTTTGTGCTATTTAAATGATATTTATCTTATTTAAAAATTTATTTTCTAAGCAACACTTTCAGGAGAAACTGGGGTCTCAGTCACTGTTGGTATAACGGTGGGGACTGATGCCGAGGGTAGAGACAAGAGAATGGCACTCCAGGCATTTGGTGTACAACTGGGGCTCATGGGCTAGTCAGCAGGTGGATGATGGGGGCTGCCTCTACATGAAAAGTAGTTATTTGGGTTAAAAGCTGTGTGGGGGACCAGTGTGAGGTAGCAGGTGACAGGAAGGGAGAAGCTTTTCGAGGTAAGGCCCTTCCAGGGAACTCACGGTGCCGTTTCGTCTGATCCAGTCTCAGTGGCAGTGAGTCGGAGGGGTGAGGCATTTGCTCTGTGTGGCGTGGACGGAATGGAAAGTGTAATGCACCATCCGTGGCCACAGTGGGTGTGGGGCAAAGGATTCTCCAACATCTGGGTTTGTCCAGTGCTTCCATGCATTATGTGCTCACGGGGCATTTGTTAAATCTATGATACAGGAAGCTATTTGGGGGTGGTATGAGTGGTGAAAGTAGACTGAATAATCCACTTTCTTTCTAAGGAAAGAATGAAGGGGGCGATTTATAGCCGAGGAATGGGGTTTGCCTGAGGATAAAGGTTAACAAAGGTCAAGCTGGAGATGGACTTCTGGGGCCTGAGTGATTAGACAAAGGACACCGTGAAAAGAGTGGCAATGGCATAAATAAAGTGGTTAAAAAATAACCTTTGTGTTTCACTCACTCACTCACTCATTCATCTGTTCTTTCATACCTCACTTGCTTTTATTTTTGTTTTATGTGCCAAGCCCCAGAGGCACCTGCTGAAGGAAATGAACAGCCACTCTACAGAGTGGAAATGCCCTGGTCTCCGGACTGTGGTCTCCTTGAGGGCAGGGCTGTCCTCTTCCCCTGGGTTCAGTGCTTGGCATGTTTTAGATGTTCAGTAAATAGCTGTTGAGTTAATAAAGACAACAGACTCAGAGGGAGTTAAGGACTTCGTTGCTCGCCGGAACCCAGGCAGTCAGTCAGCGGCACAGCCAGGCCTGAGACCAGGGACATTCCCACCACCCTGAGATGCCTTCCTTCCGTCACGGAGACACTGGTCACAGACTTGCCTGACTGGGTAACTGAGATGGGACCCAGCAGTGAGCAACTTTCCGAGTTCTTCACTGCGGAGTCCTGTCTGGAAAGTGGCTGGATCTCCAGGGTGGCCTGGATTATGAAAAAGTAAGAAACCTCTTTTGATCTATGAAAAAAACCTCAACGGTAGATTTTGAAAAATGTGGGTTTTTTTTTTTCATCAGGTTCTAGTACATGTTTGGGAGGGAGATTCCCCATTGGGTATTTTTGGTACGGCTAGTTTTGCTTCCCTAATAAGCTAGGAACACATTGAGATGAAATGTTAACCTTTGGGGGGAAAAACAATGACTTTTCTCATCTTTAAAGGGCACAAGTTTGGAAATAGCACTTTGGTTTGGGAGATGTAAGTAAAATTTGGAACTCTACCCAGAATTTAACATTCATGAACAGGGAAAGACAGTTAGCAGAAACATTTTCTCCTTTGGTCTGAGCTGTCAGGGGTCCAGAGCTAAATTTAGTGCTTAGCTGAACTAACATCCAAACTACCTGGTAACATTTGTTTGCTCTCTCTGCCGTTTGTTAGTTTGTGTTTTGATGTGTTTAAATCCTCGTGTTTTGTCCATTTTAAGTTGCCAAAACCAATGCTTATGGTCCTATGTATGTTGGTGAGAAGTAAAAACCCCAAGCAAAGGTCAGCTCCACAAGTAAACATTTTTTAAGGGGACCGAACTTCACTGCTCCTGTTGACTAAATGTCTGCCCTCCTAAAATTTGTGTGTTGTCTTAACCCCCAAGGGAACAGATGGCATTTGAAAACGGGCCCTTTGGGAGGTGAGGAGGGTTGGATGGGCCATGCCAGTGGGGCCTAGTGGTGGGATTAATGCCCTTGTAAGAAGAGACGTTAGAGAGTTGGCTTGTGCGCTCTCGGCAAGGCCTGGAGGAGGAGGTTGTGTGGGCCTGCAATGAGGAGGTGGCTGTTTGCAGCCCTGTGAAAGAGCTCTCACCAGAACTCAACCCTGCTGGCACCTTGGTCTCGGACTTCCAGGCTCCAGAACTGTGAGAAAATAAATTTCTGTTGTTTAAGTCACCCAGTCTGTGATATTTTGTTATGGCACCTTTGCTCTGGCCCTCTTTAAAAGTCTTCAGTTTGAGAGTCCTGAAGAGCTATGTTCTATCTTGGCTTTCTTTAAAATTTGCCTGATCATAAAGATCATTTTGGACATTTGTTAAAAATTCAGGTTTCCAAGTCCTCCCTTGGAGACTCTGACTCAGCAGGTCTTGGAGGTGGCCTGGAACTGTGGCTTTTTTTTGTTTTTGTGTTTTTTAAATAAGCACCGAGAGGACTGATGATCAGGTAACCATGGACCGCAGTGGTCTCCTTCCAGAGTATCTCCCTCCATGTGAGATTCAGCTCTTAAATAGAAAGACAAAGAACATGATCTCTTTCATCCATCAAACCATCATTTTTAGGGTGAGAATACATATAAGGTAAGCCCATTTGGCCCAGAACCTAGGCCTATCTAATGGCCCCTGCCAATTTTTCCATTTTTGGCTGGGGAATGGGTTAAATACTTGGTTCAATGAGACGAAGGCTCAACGATGCTACACCTGAGGGTGGATTAATGGCGCAGTGCATCTCAGCCTTCATAGGAAGACTTTGTGCTCATTTAGAGCATTTGAGTGTGTTTGTATGTATGGGCTTGATAAATAATCTTGTTATCAGGATAAAATACTTGTCAACACATAGCTGTGTAAGGAAGGAAGGCACATTTATCTCTGTATAGAATTTTCAGGATGATACCCCCTACCCTTCATTTATAAAAATTTCCATATGTCTTATTTTCTCTTTATAACTGCAGGTGGCTATTATAGTCCCATTTTCTAGATCAAGAAATGTGGGAACAGAAGGATTTTTAATTATGTTCTAACTTATTCTTACCTCCATTCCCAGAATGCTTTTCAGTTTTCAGTGCCAACTTGCCACCTGAGATGGTCAAGGATCAAGGCTGGGTGTGTGGGGAAGGGTAGGTGCATGCTGGAGTGGAAGCCAGCCTTGCCCTCCAAAATCATACATTTTTGCAGAAAACCAGGTCCCACTTGCTACTGACCTGATAAGACCCCACACTGTTGTTTACAGAGCATCCATGAACAGAACTAGCAGAGGACACCAAAAATTATATACATTCCATCACTTTTTGATTCCAATGTACAAATCACCCCTCTTCTGCCTTGTTTCCCATGAAATGGGGTCTGGGAAACTGCATGTGTTCTCCCTCTTTCCCATGGGTATGTCGACTTCTGTCACTGGACATTCGCCATCTTGCCATCTTGGTTCAGCACATGAGGAGCCATTCTGAGGGTTTAGGGTTCTGGTCAGAGAAAGCCTTTAAGATTCCTACTGAAAAGCCTTCTTTAAGTTGTTACATCTCCCTGTTCTCTCTGGCTTGGGGGAGGGCTTCTAATTCTACACCAGGCACTTGTAGAAAACAGAGGAGTGGGATTCTGTCTTTGCAGCAGCCACTCTATTTCAAGAAAAAGCTATCAAGACCGTGCCTTCTTCTAGGCTACCCATGAAGTTCTGGTTTTTCTTTTTTTAAAGGAAAAGGCAGAAACCCTCTATTCACACACACAGGTGAACATACACTTCTTTGATTGACAATCCTAACCTTTACCATGTTAAAGGAAATGTCCTAGACAACTTCTGGGACATAAAAAAGCAGCAAATACCAGAACAAAAGTCCTGAGGGGTGAACAGAACTGCCTGGAATAAGCCAGCAAGGAGTAATTGCAACGCCTTTTAGTCCAGTCTCTGAGCTCTGCTAACTCACGTCTGCTCAGGAATGGCTCTCCCCTTAAGGCCAAGTTAATGTTCCCCTTTATCCCAGTGGACTTCTTGGATCAGCCACAATAAATTGCTTCAGCTCCTTAGCAGCTCCACTGCAACATGAACATACTTGCCTGACAGAGTTTACCGCCTACATTATCTTACAGCTAACTGTTTACATCTCCATCTCCTTCATTAGACTCTGAGCTCCTTGAGGGCAAGAAGTTTATCATTATTTTTAAAAAATATTTTTTATGGTGTAATGAAACAGGAATACATCCATGCTGACAAATCTGATACAGCTTAATAAAATTTTATAAGGCAATGAAACCACACAGGCCAGGAAACGGAACTTTGTTGCTTACCCATGAAGCCACTTCTGTGTCTCACTCTAATCAAAGCTCCTCCTTGTCTCTGTAAGGAACTACAGTCCTGATTTTTAAACCTGTTACTTCCCTGAATTCATATTACAGTTTCATCATTCAAATGCACATTCTTATACACTATAGTCTAGTGTATTTAAAAATGGTACAACTTTTAATCTATAGATTCTTCTTCCATACTTTTAATTTCTGTACAATTCATCTGCTGGAGAATCTGTGGAGTTTCCTAGTCTGAATTTTGCTGAATGCAAATGCATGTGCAGCCCAGCATGTTCCTCTGCCTTTGGTAGTTCCCACAAATTGCCAGGTAGGCTCAGATTGGATCAGATTCAGGTCCTACTCTATTCCTTTGGCAAGACAAAAGAAGGCAAGTCACATCTTGTTGTCTGTCTTTGTGCGATCTTGCCAGCCACTGATGTGTAATACCTATGTATTTTTGCTCATTGGGGTAGCAAATAGTGAATTATTTGCTGTCTACCAAATGCCTAGACTCTTTGGTCTAGGCATTTACAATAGGAAGAAGGGGAGGAAAGGCAACTTCATGGAAGGAGCAGTGTGCCAGGTCATAGACTTTTTAGAAACTGTGTCATATGTAAGGCACCTGCAGTCCTGACCACCGTAGGTCTCGAGCCAAGGGCAAGCTGTTTCTGTTGGATAGAAGTTCGGTAGTGGGGAGGCTGGGAGCCAGGTCACACATGGACAGAAAGTAATAAGAATAACAGTAGTAATTTTCTTTCCCTTTTAAGTCACATGGTGTTTTCTAGATCCTCCAAGGAATTTTTCTTTAAAGTTCATTAATTTCACTAAAGTTTTTCTGCTGTTTGTTGTTGTAGCTTGATCCTCTCAGGTACATGGTGTGTTCCAAATGTGTTAAATGTGCTGTATTTCAGGAAAGTTGTGAATTAGTACTAGTGCTACTTCCTTGCTTTGTTTTTATTCTTTAGGGACTTCTATTTTCTGAGTGTTCAATATTTTGCCTATTTTTAAAATGTGTCACTTTCTCTTGATCCTTTTTATCTTTATTTCTTTTTGAGTTAAAATTTGTTTTCACCCACTATTTCTTTTAAAGTAATATTATCCACCTTTTTTTTGCTTTTGTATTTTTCAAATTTAGTTACTACTCATTCTTGAAATGATTTTACTTCTTTTATTTTAAAGTATCTCCAGTTTTTGTTTTCTAATTTTGGTTCATGTTCTTTTATGTCTTATAAAATTTTCTTAATGCTTTTTAACTTGGTTTAATATAGTATGTTATCATTTTGATCTATTTATAGGCATGTCTTTCTGGCATGCTTTCATTTTCTTTTTTTCTTCTTATAACAACATATATGGGATTTTCCTTTTATTTTTTTAGCTCTCCTGCATTTGTAGAATGAGGCAAGGTTTAGGAGTGCTTTTCCAACTGTACAGGGTTCCCTCTCCTGCTGTTTTTATCTAGTGTAAACATGGTGGCTTGCATTTTGAACTTTCCTGCCAGGGCCCCAGCCCACCCCTACCCCGCTGCCCATGGTTACCTGGACCCCGTCTTTCCTTTATCACTAATGTTTCAACCTAACTTAGTGTCGGCTCTCCTCAGGCACTTTCTCCAGAGGGCAGAGCCCTGTCCTGACCTGGGGCCTTGGGAGGTCCGTTCAGAGAGCTCTCAGGGGTCCTGACTGCTTTAGCCCCTTCAGTCTTTCTTCCTGGGACCTGCTACTTCCTCCTACTAGAGAAGGTGATGCCTTCTGCTCCCTGCCACAGCTGTTACTAAGTTGGCCTAACTACACTTTCTAGGACACACTATTGGTTGCTCAGGAGTTCTCCTATTTCCAGGTTCCTCCTGCGTGGACACTTGTGCTCTTGGTGGTTTGTCTCTGCTCACTTGTGATTTGGAGTTTGTGAGAAAACTTGATCCTAGTTTTGTTATAAATATGTCTGTCAGATAGTTTTATGTAGGCATTT